TCCTTGGCCCACATCTCTTGATTAAAAAAAAGCCAGAATAAAACTACTCAACATTTATTAGGTTGGCACTGCAGGAGAAATGTCCTCCATACAGTATCTGTGTATAACCACAGTTTTTCCAATTTTGTATGATATTATATGTTTAAACTCAAATGTTGAGCATACATTTTAGGTTTTCATTGGCCTTACAGCTGTTCAAATCTATGTGACGATCTACACGACAAACTCGATCGTTAATTGAGTTTGCTCATGTTATTTCCTGCAGGGTCTCCAATCTGTTGCTTTAAGACAGCAGTCCAGCAGTTTGTATCAATATTTTTAAATTAATTCCTGCTAAAGACATGGGCCAAGGCCCTAACTGATTTGATTAAGCAAATGATAATTCAATTAGGCAATTAAGACATGAAATAAAAACCAGAAGACCTTGTGGCCCATGAGGACTAGAACTGAAGACGCGCGTCTTATCCTATTATTTTTTTATTGCGATGCACTCCTGTTTGTATCATTTCATGTCATAGTTCAATTAACAGTTAGAAATCATTTTTCTTTTCCTACCATTCCACGATTTCTCACGATTTCTTTTACTTTTATAATTCACATGTATGGTAAATCGAAGCTCCTGCCTCACAAACTCCTTGGGTTCGATTCTGGGCAGGAACAACTTCTGTGTGGAGTTCATCCACCCCTTGTTCATGTGCGTTTCTTCTGGTTGGCTTCTTTCTGACTAGATTAATTGGCATCACTGTGAGGAACTGGTCCTACATAATATCCAGAGTGTAGTAGTCCTGGCTTGTGGCCTGTGTTTCCAGAAGGCCTCAGGGTTGCCGTCAGCCTTCCTAGGAATAAGTGGCTTTGTGACAAAGGACAGATGACAGTAATCAATCAATCATACGGCAGCATTTGTACAGTTTGCTCAAACATCTTATGGAATGGATGAACGTCATGTCCCATATCAGGATTTGATTATATAATATGCCCATAAGGCATGTACAATGAGGAGGGTTCTAACAGTGGGAATCTGGCTGTATAGAGTTACAGTTGTTCATGTTTACTGTCCTAAAGGGAAAATTAAAAGAAGGGACTGCTGGGACTCAGAGAGAATTCTGGGACTTAAATGTGAGACTTTTAAAATGCAAAATTGTGATTTGTATAATTGAGCAATAAAGTAATTTGACTGGAATTCTTTTAACATATTTACTGTATTTATAAACAATTAGATATACAGTATTTTTCTGTGTGCCATCAGATCAGTACAAAAAGTCTTAACAAGTCTAATTCAGCATCCTTAAAATCTAACTTCATATTTAATTACAGGCTAACTCTTATTGGCATTTTACAAAATTTGCTGTTTCTTTATAGTTTAAAATTTTGTTTTTTTCTATATTACTTAACAAAGCCATGTATGTACATACTGTATGTACTGTAATACACATTGTGTGTTTGTGGAATTCTGAATTTTGTTAACTTAAAATTCTCTGCCTTCAAGCTGTCTGCTTTTTTGTGTACTGCAATCCAAACAGTAACAAGTAACGCTAGTAACAAGCTATCAGCGAGAATGCAGATTCCCTGTTATTTGTTAAAGTTTGCTGAAAACCCTTGGATCAATAAGCTATTAGCAATGAAACAAGAACGATGGGCCAATATAGCCTCCTAATATTTATAAGCTTTAGTACGTTCTTAACTACAAAACAGTGTTTTCTTGATTCTTGCAGCTCAAAACATAATATTAACTTTTCCCATCACTCTGCAGCATAATACTGAATAACACTGTGACTGGTGTCATTATGAACTGATGGATCCCATAAGCACATTTTCAACAAAAGAAGCATGGATTTTGCATTACCGTAACTAATGCAGCTCAGTCAAATTACAATTACCACAATGTGAAGTGTGTGCTCTTATAACACAGTGGAAGATGGCCCACAAATGAGAAAAAGAGACATGAGAATGATCTATCTCTCCACTGCTCGAAGCTTGCATTAAGGGAAATGTTTTGCTCTTTGGTTTTACAGATTAATGATGCCTCATGTATCTCTACACTGAAGCACTTGAAAACAGCAAGAAACTATACAACTCTAAAATACGGATTAATACATTAAAGAAAATATGGCATTTTAGCATTAAAGAATAGAACCTACACACTTGGGTACAAATGCTTATGCATTTGATGTGAAAAAAGTTAAATAAAAGGTATTTCATAAAAGGTCAGAGCAATTCATTTAAAAAAAGATGGTTCTTCAATTTAATAACATTAATTTAAAGGTCTTTAATGAACCAGACCTGGCACCAATCAGAGCAGCTTCACAGAAGGTCGTAACATCTGTCTTCTCATTTAGATTTCTGTTTAGTTCCATAGATTTACTATATTGTAGCTAGAAGATTGACTACTCAGTCATAGTAATAAAGTAGAACACCCCGGGACTGCTCAACTCCTCCATCTGTGCACTAACCGTTTGTAACACTAACCGTTACACTAACTGTTACAATTTCTTTGGATTTTAAGTGAAACACATATTGCATAAACAATTTAATTGTTTAACAAAACATTTTTAGGACTATTTATAGCTGGTGTAGAATGGAAAATTAATTTAAGAATAAATTAAAATCCAGAATATTTATTTTCATTAAATTTACAACAAAGCAAAACAAGAAAGCAATATTTATATTTTTTGTGTCTTTACTATGTTCTGTAGAGAATTAGTCAAATGGCGATCTCCACTGTTTCTTTAGAAATACAAACCACAGGGAAAAACAGTGGTGATGACGACAGTTATTATCATTAACAACAGTAGCAGCAGTAGGAGCAGGAATAACTGTGGTGATTGCAATGGTATAAAGATTCTTTGTTAATTATGATTACAGTGTTAAAGTAATCCAATTTGCTCCTGAAAAGATCTTTCTACATATAAATACATAAAATGAGGGGAGGGAAACATAAATGTAGGACAGATTAACTGTTTTTTCTTTCAACATTGGGGTTTTACAGCACTGTTTTACTAATCTGTTTCCACTGCACACTGCCTCACAATCAATCAGATCTGACAAACCACAAGGACTTCTTTGCTGAAATGGTAACCATAACCAAAAATAACCTGCAGAAAATTAACAACAGACACCAAGACAGATTGTATGTGCACTCTGTTGAAGACAGAAGCTCTTGAAGAAATGTAATAATAAAGATATATTTATATAGGTCTTTGCATCCCGAAGGACCTCAAAGTACTTTAAACATACAGTGGAAAACAGCACAAAGTGCATCATCTACTTGGGTGGCACACGACAGCCATTATGCACCTGCAGCCCCTATACACATCTGAAAGAAACTGATTCACATTTAAATTAAGAGTAAAATTTAAATTAACCGGAGTGGGAGAGCCCAGGGTGGGATTTAGAAGGCCACTGGCCTTAACAGCCCTACTCTTACGAACAGTGTCATGGGGTTTTTAATGACCAAGTGGTCATTACTTCGGCTGTACAATTAATCCCCCCCCCAAAAAAAACAAAAACTGGTTGGTTTCAGATCAAATGCAATAAAACAGACAAAATCATCTGAAAATAATTTGAACAAAAAGGTTTTAAAAGACAGATAAGAAACCATGTCTTTTAATGTTTAAATGAACCCCAATCCCACAGAAAATATTCTCAAAAGGCATAATCATCAGTTGTCTGCATGGGCATCTGTGTCACATAATACTTTACATTTCTGATGCTAATTGTCATGTGATATCCAATTATACTCTAGGTTTAAATTTCAGTCTTGCTTTACTGATACATGTGCATTTATTTTTACCAGTTACCAAACCAGATGTCCTGACAATTTTTCAGCAGATTGGAGATGTACTGTACTGTATGTACAGTGCAATTATAACAACTGAAATATTTAAAATGCAGTTAACAATGATACAAGAGTAGCACAGTGGTCTTCTGGCTGGTGCTGCTAACTCACAGCTGCTTCACACTGGTTAAGTTCCATCTGTGCAGTTTACATGTTGTCCCCAAGTGTGTTTTCTTCAGCTGATTTCCTCCCATCTCCTAAATACACGCTGGTTAGGTTGACTGCTAACTCTAACTTGTCTTTGTGGGTGAATGGCTTGTGAAGAACTAGTATCCTGTTTTTGGTAATTTTTCCCTGCATCCTTTACTTCTCTTACAGGGTCAGGTTACCATAAGCCTTACCAGAAATAAGTAGCTTTCTGATGATGGATGAATGATAAAAAAACATCCTATACCCAGAGGGTAATGAATTGTGAAGTGGGACATGCATTACACATAATCAGCACAACAACATTACTCTTAAATCCACATGGTGGAAGGTATTAGAGTAATTGCTGGGATCTGTTTATTTAGCCTTTATCCAATGGTATGTGAAGACAGGACAAAGCTGGCTGCTGTAACCAATTTCCATCTACAAAGAGTTAAGGGTAATTAATCACATTATCAAAGGCCAGGAGAAACCCTCAAAGAACAGGACAAACGCTCAAGGGTGTGAAACAAACTTCTTTCTGAGCCTGTGTTGTCTATAAGAGTTGAGAAGCCCCTTGCAGTTTCTCTGTCCTGCAGGGCAGACTCAACAACACATTGCTGTGCTTATTAAGCTCAATAAAGACTGCAACAGCACAAGACTGTCTTCCACTCTTCTGTTGAAACATTTCTCACAACAACAGGTTTTTGTTCAGTTAGGATCTGGTGTAGTTACAATGACAATTGCCTTTTAAATGCACATACTGTATGCTTTACTACATTAAGCACTGAAAATGAGAGACACTAGCGATGCACAAGGCCAGTTTCCTGGTTGTTTGCATTTGCTCTACTTTGTTTGATGGAGAAGAAGGGATAGATTAACCTCTTTCTCTATATTAAAGCTGTTTATTTTAATATTGTATGATAAAGGGAATAAAGTGATCAGTTTGACTATCATGCAGTGTAAGATCTATGGGGCAGAGGTACATCATGCACAGCATTTGGTAATATAAGGAACAAGGAGAGGAATAGCTGTTCACCTGGTTCACCTCCAACACCTCTCTCCTTTCCTCAGTTGCGTAGCGAGCCAGATTTGTTGAACGGTCATCGTGCTTTGATCCATCATCTTCTACGTACGGTATCAGCTGCTGTACAGAAAACAGAAAAAGACAAGGAACACATGAATAGGTTTTTAATTAAAGAGATGGGAAAAAAAATCTACTACCTTTTTAATAAAAAGTATCAAATGCTACAGAAAAAGATCATCATGTGGGACGGACGCACCGGGTTTTTTTTCTTCTGTTTTATTTTTGTCTACTTTTAACATGTAGGAGTAGCCAACCATTGTTTAACCTCACTGCTGAACGGATTTGAAATGCCAAAGACAATCAATGGATTCCTGCAACACTGCGTGCTCTCAAGTTAGTCACCACTTTTGGCACTGACAGCTGGGATAGAAACAATGCAGTCAGTGGGAGGACAGTCACTGCTCAGCCTTGTACCTTCACCACTTCTATACATTCAGTGAAATACTCCCAATCCCATACATACAACATAGGATCTGCCAGCTTAAGGGATCATCTTATGTTCCAGGTTTAATGTTATTAAAAATGCAATGTATAGTTATCTTATTGCTTTCATAGAAGAAACTGAATTAAAAACTGGTTACTAGAATGAAGACAATATATTTGTGTCCTCCAATACAACCATGCTTTAAGCTTAGAAAACCTAAGCTTCTTTGCTTAATGGAACCTCCAAAGCACAAACAGCTGATATTTTGCGGATGTAGGGCCCAACCTAGCTCTCGCTAATCATCAAACAAGAAAAGGTTAATTCCACACTTACATTTTTTTTCTTTCTACTTTTCAGCACAGAATTAACCTTTACTTGTTCCTTCTCAAACCTCTCACTAACAATGCCATAAACCCTCAGAAAATCAACTAGCAGCAGAGGTTACTATTGTGTAATGAGCTGAAAATTCCCAAGACAACATCAAGCCAAACAGCTCTAGCAGAGCTTGGTTAACAGTACTCCTCCCTTGGAGAATTCCTGATCACAGTGGCTACTGGCACAGTTCAGGTTAGAAATAATGGGCAACCATTACCTCAGAGCAGAGGATATTACAAGGTAAGCCTCTCACAAAACCCCAAGATTTCAGGAAATACATTTTCTGAGAAATATCCATGTTTTATCCAACATTCTCAGGTGTTTTGCCAGGTGTCGATAAAAAAAATCTCTATCTGTCCTTCCCTAAAGGAGAGTATTCCATCATCTGCTGTAAATACGATGACCAGATATGTCAGTCTGCTATGGGTAGGTTTTTGTGGTTCCTTTCCCAAGGGAAAGTGTACAGTATACTTACAACACATAAAGGATTGTTGATCCAAAAGAAACACCACAAAAAATGTACATCAGAGAATCACTAAATGCTTTTTAGTCCCTTCTTGCACGACCTTGCAAGCAATCGATAACAGCTATATACCACTCTGATGCTTAAAGTAAAGTCAGAAGTTACTGGCTCACCCTCCATTTAGTGTAAGTCATACTGACACCTACTGGCACTACTGTGATGTGCATCCACTACGTCTGCAGAATTAAAACGAATGGCTATGACCATTAGACATACTGTAAGATGGAACTTCTATAATCTAATACTAAACAACAACATGGGCATCCTTCATCATTTTCAGATATAATGAAACTTTTTAGCATCAGAAAGCGTGGTAGAAAAACCACGGTCGGCAACACTGGTAGAAAACACTAAAAACAAACCACCTAAAAAAAGGAAACAAAAGAACGGAGTACAAAAAAAATGAACCACTGCTTTAAACAAAAAGCAGATTTTTATATGTCATAATGATGTATGCAATATTATTATGTCCAGCTACAGCTCCTTAAAGTGCAGTCATAAAGTAATCTAAGTATATTTTCATGTTGTGTTCATTTGGACTTTTTCAGCGGCTCATTTTCAGTGCTTCTAGTTAACATCCAGATTGTACTGTTGGTGTGGTCCACTGTGGTGAACAGAAAAGGACAAGTGGAAAAGCCCTAATGATTGAGTGCATTTGTTCTTGCACATTCAGCCAAGCCATAAACACTGGGCAGGTCTGTGGCACAGGAAACAAATACATACTGGATATTAAAAATATGGACATGCTTTGCTGGGAAAGAAAGACCATTTGATTCTAAGCTAAAATTAATATGAAATTTTCAAAGCTGTGGTCAGCAGAAAGGCAGTTCTCATTGTCTCTTGTATTTATGGACTCTCTGTACAGAACAGAATAGGGCTGTAATGTTTCCCAGTCATTGGAAGAACTTTTAAATGAAATATTGAGGCTAAGAATGACACTATAAGCTACTTCGCTAGGTATCCTCTACTAAGGCAGTGACTCTTTTCCATCTGAAAAAGCACACAGGAGGTGAACCTTGTTAATCTGTTTTACATCAGACTAGAACTTAGACAGCTCAGTACCAACTTCTCTTACACTACACAGATTACTCTTAAGTACCCCTGCTTTTACTGCGTTTTACTGTGTTTAATATAAAAGTTATTTCATTCAAAACCAGAATGCCAAGGGGTGGTTGCATCTATACTAACACAGAAAGAACATAGGACAAAATATGAGTATCTATAACATAACATTCAACAACATCAATGGATATGAATTTTGCCATTTTTCACCAGAAGCAGGCTAGTTTGGAAGCAATATTTTTTCTGATTATTTTAATAATTAATTTTTTCATCTGTTTTATTAAGTTACGACCTTTGTACAAACAGGTAAGAACTGGTATCAGGAAAGTCTTGAGGATTTGGGGATCATGGTTCCTGGCATTCTGAGGTTACCCATGCTGACTAAAGTCTTGTCAATCCAGATTGCATGCAGTCAGCTGCATACTATCTCTTCAGAAAAACAGCTGGTTCACAACAGTCAAATTTCAAACCAGAGCTGTCTGCACTAGAGGGCTCAACTTGGACACCAACCAAGCATGATTACTCATTGAGCCACTTAAGAACCAGTTCTACTTCAAATCTATCATATTCTAATTGAATGTAGAAAAACAGGTGCACATTTCTGTTCAGAACACATTCATGTGTGCTGGGAATAAAATCCTCAAATTAGTCGTATCAGAAATTTACCTTTGTTTCTAAGAGTTTTCCAAGAATCACTTAGTGCTAAATGCAAGACCATTCTTTTCTTTGCAGTTTTCACCCATCAGTTTAAAAGGTTGCAGACAAATTCAAAACAAAGCGCTCCCTGAACAACAGCTGTAAATCTCCACCACCATATTAAGTTTACGTGCTTTTTGAACTTGGAGGAAAAGAATATACAATGCATTAAAGCTGTCAGGCATCACATAAATCTTTCAGAACATTCATTTAAGAGACCCAGCAGCCATGAAACCTTTTCTTTTTGAAATTTGTTTTTCTTTTCATAGAAAAATGCTGAAAGCCTGCCACAGTGGAAAATACATTATGAATACAGACGTGTATGCTTGCCCAGCTGTTTTCACTTTTCTTCAATTTGTCAGTCAGTCACCATTCCCTCTGATTGCCTGTGATGCTGTGTCTCGGTGTTTAAAGAAACAGAGTGACCAAATTTAAATTCTGACATGCTGTACCCTCTGCTTTCCTTGATTCCATTTTACTTAATAACAGCAGAACTGGAAAACTCATTTAAACATTTCTAATGGTCATGTTACACCACCTCCACCTCCACTGTCGGATGGTCAAGAAATATGGTGGCCCTTGCCCCCCATTCCCCATGGGCCTTTATGGCCTGAAAAGGGACCTACCTATCTAATGGTCATGTTGCTTTGCATGTTTTGCCTACGGAATGCATCAATCTTAAAAGAACATTTACTTTCACACTTATTTTCTCTCTGGGAAAAAGATTTGGATCTACAAAATCTAAAAAAGATGCAAAGTTGCGTCTGTCGCCTTTATTCACCAGGTGGACCTTTTCATCGCTCCACATGCAGAATCATCTAGGTAAAATATAAAAACAGGAAGGACTGTGCCATACCTTTTGAGGAGGATGCTGATTTAGAGGCATTCAGTCATAATCCCACAGACAGTGGCTTCACACCACTGGCTCCTCAGCCAAGCACATTCTGTACTCCAAATGTCTGAACTTGAGCAGGATTACTATTGCGATATCATATTGTCAGAAAGGTAAAACTAACCTGCCTTACGACACTCTAAACCCATCAGAAGATTCACACTCTATTGATTATGAACTCCTTTAAACTCTGCTACTGTCATTAATTACAGATTCTAGAACTGCAACGTGCAATGTGAGCCTATCGTAAAAAACAATAAGGGGACCTCTTTAATCCTTGCAAAGAAAGAATCTGTTCAGTACTGGACTGTGACATGCGATCAGTTCACTGGTTGTGCCACACAGGGAGGAAGTAGGCAAACAATTCAGACTCTCGAGATGTAGATGAAAAAGATATAATCCCTCCAGTATGTCCTATACTGGTCTTGAGGTTTAAACTCAGTAGGGCCTCAGTGCACTTAAGCATGGTGTGCACAGTAATGCAAAAATAAAAATGATAGTAAAGGCATCTGCAGATTTCCAGAGAAATCAACGGAAAATAGACAAGCGTTCTCACCTCTGCAGGTACAGGGTCCAGCCCAGCACAGTTTTCATTGCATTTGTCATACACCAGCCTGAGCTTCCTGAAGAGCACAGAGAGCTGCCGCAGATGCTCTTGTAGCTTTCCCAGTCGGTCTTGATGTGTGCTTGCATGGTACGTGACTCCATTGGGTAACTGCAAAAAAAACAGGACATCTGGTCTCTTAACCTTACATAATATCCAAACTCGAATGCAGTGTACTTTTTGCATCAACCTATGGCTAATTCCATCGCGACTCATGCTCCACACTCGCAACTCAAAATGCTGAAGTTAAAAGAAGTTGCAAGATGCTTCGCTTTCAATGCACATGGCTCTAAATGTAAAATACTAAATAGGAACTGGACCACCTAAGCTTGAGTTACTGAACATCAGCATCCATGGAAATATCCTAAGAATATTGCAAAAAAATGGGTTGGAGAAGCACTGAAAAATTAAGGCTTTGCACTTCTAATTCAAATGAGACAGCAAAAATATGCAGGTTCTTTTTTTGGTGGGGTATTATGGTAAGTGTTATTGTTGCTCATGTGAAGTCCTTCCTTGTTCTACCTACTGTAAAAGAGACATAGAAATGTAGTGGAAATTCAGATCCAGACTAAGAATGTTCAGTCAGCTACCCTGGCGTCTACAATTTACATAAGCTTGATTGTTTTTTTTATCATCACCACCCAGTTGGGGATAACTTTCATATCGCACATCTCCAGTAAGCAGTGTAAGGTCACTGGCTGTTTTATAATCAAGGGTTCAAACCTGCCACAGTATCTAACTGACAATAGTTCAAGAAGTATGAGATATAAGAATTTCAAAAGCATTTTAGATATACGGGCATTTGGCTGCCACAGATAACAGTTAAGCGTATGCAAGAAAGAACATATCAGAATCATTAAGTACAGCTTTTATTTTGGGATGGAAATGTATGGAACTGAAAGAAAAAGTTTCAAACCCCTCATGGGGTTTTCAACAAAGAACCTACTGTATATGATACTGCAAATGTGTGGCAAAAAAAAAGGTTTTTATGGTCAAACATGAAAAACTGTAACTTTTTGGATTAACTGCAAAACAGCAAAACATTACATCTGACACAAACCCAAGATAGTCCATCACTCAGTTAACAGCATGTCTTCTCTCAAGCATGGTGGTGGCTTCATTACAGTACAGTTCTGCTTCTCCAGACGATGGACATAAACGGAGCACAATACTGGACCATCTTTGAGGGAAACCTGCTTTAGACCTAAAACTGGGACAAACCTTCACCTTTCAGCAGGACAAACCAAAGGAAAAGACCAAAGCTACACTGGAGTTGATCAAAAATAAGAAAGGTATTGTCCTTGAGTGGCCCTGACTTGAATCCTTGAGAAGCGAGAATCTGCCAGAAGACTAAAAACCTACTGTCCATAAGCTATCCCCCAAGCAACTTGAGCTTGAGCAAATCTGACAAGAAAAATGACCAAAAAGTGCACCAAGAAAGTGTTTAAAGTTGGAAGTCGAAGGTGCTTCCACCTAATATTGAGTTCATAGGTCAGAATACGTCGCAATCAGCATATTCCATTTTTTTCTCTATAGTTTCTGCTCACATTTTCTGTACCATATCTTCCCTTAGAATTCTTTAGTTTGTGCATTCAGGATTTGAATTAAATAAGTAGTGTAAAAAATGTGTAAGCATCATTTTGTGTTTTCACAAAAGGAAAGACCATAGGAAGGGTCTGATTACTTTTGCAAGGTACTGTACGCACAAGACAGAATTAAACGTTTATGTTCATACAAACAGAAAACCACTAACTCAATGATTCTGCACTGTTATGAGATAAAGGCTCTAGAAATATTGGCTCTTTCAGCTGGAAACACTGGCTCCCAGACTGTTCCAAACTGGAGGGAGAAGTCTGCTTATCTCCCTCTGTGGTAGGTGATCCACAGAAGCAACAAATCTGATTGTGTGCGATGATAATCAAGTGTATGAGAAACAGATTACCTGAATAACCACATTATACAATGGAACAAGTAAAGGGTTATTCCCTGCTGAAAAGAGGAGAAAAGAAACACAACGTTTGGGCCGTGGAGCCTTCACACCCAAAGAAGGCTCCACAGCCGAAACGTTGTGTTTTTCTTCTCTTTTCAGCCTGGAATAAACCCTGACTTGTCCCTTTGCAGCCCACGCATGCTCATGCATCTACCTCCTTGAACCACATGATACAATTACAGTTTTCACACACCTGCATGTTCCTCAGGAGCTGGAAGATCTCCATAGTCCTGAAGACGATGTCCTGCACTGTTTCTTGCCCAATGCGACACAGGGAGGCAGTGTTGACCTCTCGGGCAGCCTGTGCCTGTTGCCCCCCAAAAGCTCCAGCGGGCATGCCAGCGCCAGCGACCGGAGGTGTGGCCATGTCCTTACTTCAGCGTCACAATATCACACACCATCCTGGCAAGCAAACGGAGAGAACTGCTGGTCAGCAAATAGTGATCCCAACTCACTTTTTATGGGCCATATTTCTGCAGATCGTACCAGTCTCCCTGTTGTGGCAGGAAGCTGTCATTCCCTGCTATTTACAGGTTTCTTCCAGGAAATAAAAAAAGATAACCTAATTGTTTTCTTATCTTACATTCTAAGAAAATATATATAGGCTTATTTGTAAACCAACAAAAAAATCATTAACTATGCTCGTTATGTTTGTAATACATTTGATTGTATTTATGGCCCTACCAAGACGTTTTGCAGTTTCTAAGTGCTTGCTCTGGAGAGCAGATCAAAGACACAAGGCCAATGGCCAAGGGGGATAAAAATATCAAAGTAAAGGTCTTAAAAGTCATGCTGGCATCTTTTGATGTCACATTTTTTTGTCTTAAAACACCCACCCCAAAATTCATTATAAGGTAAGCTTTCTATAATTACCATATGTGAAAGAATTATAGTTATTTTCACAATCCCTTGTAACGTACCATTAAGTAGACTTGAATGTACATACAACTGCTTATAAAGTTAGGCAACATTTCCAAACAACTATACTGAGAAAACATCTGCAGTGTGGTGCAATGAAATTTGGTACACATACAGATGAGACCAAGGGAGACCAATTCCCACACAGGACAGTGCACACTAGAGGGGGCTAACATCACCAGTGTCCACTTGTTTTTATATTGTGGCCCTCTTCTGGATACTGGTTATGTTAGTGTTTGAATAATTGTGTACAGTCTGCTGTGATGTTTAAAAAATCTCAGAATGTAAATCAAAATATGTTCAGATTATTACTGCACTGGCACAACCTCCGTAAAAGATACATACTGTCCAAAAACAGTTCAGAGGACAGGCAGGAATAATTATTGTTCTTCTAGGGTACAATTAGTATTTAATTATGCCTGGTTAAGGGAAAGTGATCTCTTTGGTCTTGATTTATAGGGTGCTTAATGCAACTGTTCAGAATTCTGAATGTTACTGACAAAGCCAACCCCAAATCGTAAATTATACTAAACAATGAAACATGCACCCGCGGTCAAATGGAGACTGTGTGGCTAGGAGACCCTTTACAGTCCTCGGTGTCTCAGACTCATTACTCATTACTGCTGATGCCCATTCGCCTTTCCAACGTTCAAGAAAAGACCAGATGAAAGATCATCATCACCAGCCAAGGGCTACGCGAATGGAGTCTTCTCTGTTTGACACTCCAGTATGGTCACAATTTTAAGACTGAGGCGCAAGAATAAAGAGAGTACAGCCCTCGACGGAGCAGCACAAGAAAATCCCAGCAGTTACATTACACAAATGTACGCACCATACTGTTCACCTACGCCTCCACTGCAGATAAAGAAGGGGAGAAAAAAAACAACCAGGCTGCTAGACGTACTGTAGGAGGGTTCGCTGGTATATAATAACAGCAGATATACCAAGTTCAACTTTTTTTTTACAAATACTGCACTTACAAAATGCTGAAAATCCCCACGTGCCAGCTTACAATTTGTACAAATATGCTGTCATTCCCTAAAAACAACTCGAAAAGCATATGGTCGGGGTGTCAGTGCAACTGAACGCCAGTTCAGGGCGCAGAGGTGCTGCTTTTCCTTAAGGATACTCCGCTCATTTTACACAACCGGCAAACGGCTCCTCGTCCGCTGAAAGGTTTGCGTTCGCTAATTCGCCGTCTCGTTACCTGGAAGCCACAGTCGCTATGTTTTTTTTTTACACAGCTCCTGGTGGTGCCAGTACTGCAGAAGGCATCTTCGCCTTTCCCTTTTCCAGGGGGCTCAGCTGTTGCATGGAGGACATCGCGAGAGCTGCGCCGTACTGTATACCGTAACGTCCAGCACATACTTGCTGCGCTGTGCAGTACCGTGGGCTTGTGGAAACCGGAGAGCGTGGATTTATCATAGACTGGCTCTCGTCAGGCATTTCAAACCGACACGTTTTTGTTTCCCAAATGCAATGAGGCTTACCGTGTCAAACTGTGCAGGGGCTGCCCGTGCTTTGCGGGAATCGTTCGGCGATTTGAGACCGGGACCACGGTGGTTGGGATATTTGCTCGGTTGTACGGCACTGGCCTCAAATAGTCTAGTAATATTTTGTCGGAGAGAACAGTTAAAGCGACACCCGGCGATCAGTCTCGGGAATGTTATCCAGAGTCTAAGCCGCAGTACATGCAGATAGCTCCTCGTTTAATTGAACGAAATGCTGTACTGTATTTGGTCAGACAGAGACAATTTTAAACAAACAAAAAAAATAGGACACACATTTGTACATCATCGTTTCCAGTCATGATAAATAAATTATTTGTATTTATTTCGTTCGAGTTCTATTTTGTCTGTGTCCTGGATGCAATCAACTCAGAACGTAATGAAAACTGCACAACTGCTGAAATACAGACACACTTAGAACAATCACATAATATTATAATATTGCCATATGTAGTTTTCCATTCTCCAGCATGTGCTACTGTTTTATCGTTTTTCTTTTCAGTGTGTGTCCATCACATCTGTGTTTTCGTAAGGGCTTTCAGCAGCAAGAACATTACAAACGTGAGTCTCATTGGCTACTAGTGCGCTGATGGATCTGAGGTTTCTGTCCAGTTTTAAGGATTCATGAATTTTAGTGAAGGGTCCCAGGCTACTGACGTCCAACAACGTGATTGAGTAGCTTATTCCCGATTAGATTCCTAAATTAATATAATTATGAATTCTAAATGTATACATTTATTTTTCAGCTCAATTCCCTAGTCCTGAAAAAAAAAACCTTTTCATTTTTCCTTTGTGACTAGTTCACCAACACCAGCTTCCATCAAGACCCCCCATATTCTCCTCTGTTCAAGAAAAAAAAAAAGACCAATTTGCTTTATCGTGTCTGCATGAGACGTACCAATTAAGGACAAGAATGATCTTTGTTGCCATTCTTTGAACTGGCTCACATTCTCATTCTGTCAGTTGTCCTGTGCAAATTCAGAGCTACAGAATAACATAAATACAGATGCAGAAATGGAAGACGGCTTAACCTTTAACATCTGCAACTTCCCACTAAAGACCTTTCAGCGATAATGAGGGATCAGCAGATGACCTTGCCTTAGTTTTTTTTTTGTCTACACATTCGCATTCTTTAATTAAAAATAGTCCTTAAAATGACCTTGTGCCGTGCTCAAAGCACCTTTTGATTGACACCAGGACTACAGTAAGGGCTCAATTGTAGAAATATTTTGCCTGTAGGATATAACAGAAGTGGAACTAATTGGGTATGCCACATATTTAATTTTCATTATATATTTGCTAGAAAGATACGAAGAGACATTATATGTTAGTTTAATCTGATTCTATGAAGTCCGTTAATAAAATGGATCTTTTATTTTATTCCTGTTCATTAACCCCACTTTCACATTTTAATGTAATAAATGTAACATCTTAGTTAACTGTGAAATAAGAATACCAAACCAGTTACGCATGACTTGGGGATTGCATTGACTACTCTAAAATAAAGGGGGACTTTTGATTATGTGAGTTTCCATTGGAGCCATAACATTTAGTCATGATCAGCATCACCACTCTTGTCTGGTACCTTGTCATATTTGGACCACCACACAAGACAATCTTTCAAATGATGATTGAAAATTTGCCTGTTTAAATCAGCCCTATAATTAAGGGGTTATGTAAGGGTGATTCAAATGATAAATGCAATTCATAAAACTACTGTATAACAAGGTATCGTTAACTGCAAGGAGGATTTTGGCTGCTGTGTAAAACTACAGTTCCCCTTGAACTTCCTAAGCAGTGAGAAATCGTCATTTTTGAAGACTATCTTGGATCTAAAGATCCGAAGGTGAGAAAACTCAAATGTACAATCTCTCTGCTACAGAAGGAAGGCGTGATGAATGTTTTCAGCTTGAAGATGCAGTTCACTCAAAATGGTGATGGTTACTGCTCATGGTTCAGTGTTAGGTGGCCATGCTTGCTTGATGTAATAGCTACCCAGACACAAAGCATGTTTTGTAATTCAGGGAGTAGCAACATGATATGTAAGATGTAAGCATGATATGGCAATAGACTTAGACATCAGAATGCAGGTGACAGGTAGACACTGCTGCTGTAGACGAAGCTGGTATATCTCTTCAGCCTTGCAAATTTCACAATGTGTCATGGAGTTCTGAAATATCATCAATGCTCTCTTATTGCTGAGGTTTAATGTTGTGCATAAGATGGGTTATTTTTGCATTATCAAAAATGATACAAACTGTTGTCCTGATAATATACTAAGCAGTTATGTGTATATATATAGTATGTAAATATGGTATGTATGAATTTCCACAATAAATTATATGGATTGGTGTATATTAATAAATACAGCAATATTTCTGTCCACAATATTGTTGTCTAACATCATGGAAAATGAAATTACTCTGAGCTTATGTTCCATATATAGGTAGAATACTCTACTCTCTACTACATCATTGAGAGTCTGAGAGTTTCCAACAACTTCAAAGCGAGAGGCCACTTTCATATTTTGATGTTGTGAATTTCAAATACAGTTTCAGGTTGCCTAGAGGAGTAACCATTGATGTTAGTAATACAGAGGTTCTAGGTTGTGACATGATGCTGCAAAATAATGCAATCCCAGCACAAAATGTTTTTCAAGACAATTAGTTTTGTGACACATGAGTGCTGTCTGCTTGGCTATGCATCATTTGGAAGTGAGAACCATTTTCCTTCTGGTTATCTTACAGGTACCATTATGCTGGGAGGTTCACTGCTCATGATGTACAAAAAAACAATAAGTTGTTTATTTAAATTTAACTTCCCTTTGCACTGTTAGAAATGGTGGTTTAAAAACAATCCATAAAGCTGACATTTATTTTCTTCTAGCTACCTATTAAGTCATAGAACATTTTATAACCTGTTCACGTTTTCTGAAATGCAGAGCTTAAGGCAAAATTATACAAGCAACACACAGCATTTCATCTGATTTTCTTAAGCTCTGAAAATCGCCTAGCTATGCAAACAGACTTCAATTCACTTGGCACTACAAGCACACAGAATGCAGCATCTGGGCAAATAATCACTGCCAAGAGTAAATCTTTGTTGCAAAGTCTGCTCACCAGTTTGTCTGTCTAGAGAACACTTCAGCTTCAAAAAACACACCCACATTTTATCGTATTGTTTCTTAAGCAAACAGGAAACGTAAAGCTCAGATGGAGATCAAGAGATCTGTATAATTAGGAATGACTTTAAAGTTTAACTTCTGACATTTAAAGAACCATAGAATTACAAAATGCTTATTTTTTATTTTTTAAAGTAACAATGTACATTTCCATTTGCATACAATGTATTGTGCTGCTGTTTTGGAATACTGAGTTAAAACTTAAGATTCTTCTGCTTCAGTAAATGTGAGGACTTGAGACACTTTGATTCATTGAGTGAAACACCATTAAGTATGCCTCTGTCTCTTTAATGCAGTCAAGCCTAAATAATCCAGAACAGTCAGGAGAACTCAGATCTCCACTAAGTCTGTGAAACCTGATGATGAGATTCGCTTCCTGACTGATAAAAATTATGTGATCAATGTGATGTTATCTGTTGATCCTCAGCCAGAACCTGCTACTCTTCCTAGAGCACAAAAAAAGATTATCCTTTATACCATGAAGCTAAAATTCTACTAATATTCTTTATTGTCTCACTGCCACATTAATGTCAATTCATAAAATTATAAGTTATCAACTAAGGATAATCTCTGTATAGTTCCATTCTGACCTATATTGCATGTTTTGGGTTCTGAAACCTTTAATACAAAATACAAATACAAAAACTGTATTCTATTGTGAACTAGCCTTGGACATGCTATTAGAGCATATTTTAGTATTTGCACTTGTTTTCATATTGGACTTTGGAAGCTATCTTATATTTGCTGAGTTAGACCTCTGGGGATCCGCATCTGTAAAAATAAGCATTATTTTCATAATATGGACAATTCCCATCTACAATATGCAAATACTGCATGATCAACCAAGCATATTAACTCTGTATTGCAGGGTGAAAGAACAGATCTTTCACCAAGCACTGAAGAAATAAAGACACATTGCTGTTCACTTCAGCATCCTGAGTGGGTAATTTCCCACAACAGAGACTCTTTAATTCCAAATTAAATTATCTCCTTCTCATTTGCCGCTCAGTGAATAATGTAGAGAAATATATGAAGATATATGGGCACTAAACAAAAGAGTCAGTAAGCATTTCCGCCTCCTATAGTAAATGAGATACAAAATCTTCATGAAGAAATGGTTTATCTTACATGCAGAATACAAATATCTGATTGTATTATTCTCTTCAGCACATTCCTTTGAGTATTACGATAACAGCAATGCAAGCAGTAGGGTAACAGCCTTCATGCAATTTCTGCATTACTGGAATTGGGCTAAAAACCGAAGAGGATAAGGAATGTGGTCACAGATTTAAAATTCTAATGAAATGTGTCAAGTACGTCTACATTACTTGACAGCGACCCTATATTTCTACAAATAATCAGAAGACTTTACAGTGTTTGGTTTTATACACTTTTAGTCACATCAGTGGTTTTCACCCATGTAGGGATTTTCTTTTGGAAACAATGATAAAACATCAAAGTAAGACACTTTTTGTCACTGGCACAGTTAAGGTGACCTTTATTTTATGTCAATATCAATTCCATGATACCGTTGCATCTTGACACTCTCCAGAGTCAGAGCATCAATCACCAGAAGCTGATTGCCTGGGCTCAATTAGATTGTGAGGTTTGCAATAGTAAGTGTCTCTAGGGGAAAAAAATGTTTAAGGGCAATAGATATGGTGACAGTGTGGGCCACAGAATGAGAATTTGTCTATCCATCATCTTGGCAATTTATTGTCTAACCCACATGGTACAGGTCAGTTAAAGGAAGGTCATCGAGGAAGCGAATATAATGTAGGATGCAATGAAACAATGGCACAAATATTTAGTTAAATATGTTCCACATGGCACAAAGGTTTTTTTCGTAGTTAGACAACCCTTAGTTGTCTATAATCTCCAGGTTAAGGAAAGAGTCTCATGAATGAAGAGAATGGATCATACTATTCTGGTGATCTATTGTATAAACCATGTTAAATATAGTTGCACTTCATTTATAAATCAGCTCTCAGAATTAGTGTTGCCCATGCTTTCACAGAGGCATACTGTATCTGCATGGTTTTGACCTAATAAAAGTTTATAAAATCAAACAAAGATGGATAGCTACGACAAGCACCTTCTGGTTTTTCTGACCATCTCACCTGTAGCAGCAATAGTGACAAGTGTGAATTCACTGATGCCACCACCAGCTGAGAAATGTGTTTCGTAGATCAGGTGACATCCTGAGACTGCGATGGGGACATATTCCTTGACAGTAGAGGAATTGGGACAACATTCAGTATCTTCAACACCGGTGTTCCCAACAGTGTGCCTTGGGACTCAGAAGACCTGAGTCCTGAGTTTAAAAAGTGCAAATCAGAACCTTTGATTGGTTCTTTCCAGCTTTTAACCAAATCTTAAATAGTTGTGTTGGGTTAATGTAAATTTTGTCCATCCATTCATTTTCTAAACACTTCTTCAAATTCAGGGTAAAGGGGGAGCTGAAGACTATCCCAGCAAGCAACAGATGCAAGGCAGGATACATCCTGAATGGAACGCCAGTCCATCACAGAAGACAGATGGAAATTCATTCACACACTCACACCAGCGCCAATGTTCCCAGAAGCCAATTTTAACCTGCCGGTATGTTTGTGGGATGAAAATGGAGCACCTGGAGGAAACCCACACAAACTCAGGGAGAACATACAAACTCCACATCGATCGCACCCCAGGTCTGGAATTGAACCCAGGGCCCCTACTGTAAACTCTAGATTGCGCTACTGTAAATCATCACAATTTTAAAAATCCTAATATTTTAAAATAAAATTTTAATTTTATTTTTTTTTAAATCAACCACAAGGTGTTTGGGAGGTTAAAATTGTTTCATAAGCTGAAGAGGTTTAGGAACCACTGCTCTCTACCCTATGCTCTGATGTGCTCTGATCTGCATTAATATGCGACATGCTGTGAATACAGATGACAGGGAGGCAAACAGCTTCCTATTAACTGAAGAATGCTTATGACCAAAAAGGTGTATCACAAATCACCACCATCATAGATATTTTGTATTTACACTGTCACCTCTCATTTAGCATCCAGGTTTTATGACACTTATTTATTAATTACCAATTCATATTGGAAATAATTATGGAGATTAAAGTGTATATATAATGCAAATTATATTAAACAAATATGTTCAGTCCAAGCTCCACTTCGTCTCGCTATGCAATTAATGAGGGGCTAGTTTTGGGGATCCTGGCACAGTACGCAGTCTGGTTTCTGATCTGAGTGTTGCTCCACTTGAATGGTAACAGAGTGGCAATTAAAACTGTCGAAACAGGTCTGGGTGATTTCCTTAAGAGTCAGCTGAGGATCCACTGTGCCATCTGTACAAACAAGACCAAGACAACCATTGTTCACAACTGTTATTACTGTTCTTCAATTTTAGGTCAGAACACTTGAAGCCTGACGATGTTTATTGCAGGTATTTGTTTCAAGCAGAGTACAGTACATAAGAGTTCAGAAATCAAATATCGATAAATTGTTCCGCCTAGATGAAAAAATGATAGTTTTTGGACTGTAGCAATTCCTCCCAGAGATCAAAACATTTAAGAAAAACAAGGAAAAGTAAACAAAGTGTATCTATTTAAAATTAGCTTCAATATTTCTGGAAAATTGGTTCTATGTTCTTATTCAATAAGAGATTACATCTGCTTTTTTGTGTGCAAAATTAATAATACCAATTAACAGCAAAATAATTAATCGAGCAAGCTTTAATTTATGTGTTGAAATATTAGTTGTTAAATTACCCGATTTAAACTGTCAGTTTAATATTATGTTGTAAAAAGGCTTTGATGCATCTCACCTGAAAAACCAATAATGATCATCTTAATTTATTTCACTGCACCTGTATTTACTTACCTATGGCAACATGAGCTGACAACACAACCTGATTCATTGTGAGAGCCCAGATATGCAGGTTGTGAATGGCTTTAACTCCTTTCACTGTCACAATCCTGTCTCTCACTGCGTTATAATCCACACCTGCTGGTGTACCTACAAAGAAAACAAGTAGAGAAACAAAATAGTACTGCACATTAAAGACACTGTAAGAAATTATTTTCATTACCACACTTTCATTTTTAAATTCTTAAATACATACATTTTGCATTTCCACAACACTCCATAAACAGTGTATAAGATGTCTTGAAGTGCTTTACATGGATTAAAGAGCTCAAATACACAAATATATATCATACTTTATATGTTCTTCTACTGACTAACACTGTTATGAACATGTCACAGATCAGCACTCTAAACATCAGAAGAAAACAAATTCCAAAAAAACATGCATAAGGTTTAATGCAGAAAAATGGTCTGTCTACACCTTTGGGAAATGCTAATGTTGTCAGTTAATGTATCTTTTAAAGATGCAAACTAGGTTACAAGATTAGGGTTTCATTTGTAGACTTGTATGCAGAGCATGTTGCTGTACAAACTGTCATTTTTAAAACAGACATACCTTCCATTAAAACCACTAAGATGTCTCGTAAAATGGTCATAGTGGTGCCCAGCACAAACAGGGAAAAAAGAAAAGTGCAGATAGGATCTGCTATTTTATATTCAGGCTGTAATAGAAAAAGAAAACTGTTTAACAGTTTGTTAGATGTGTATTTTATTATTATTTTGTCATTTTAATTGCTTAGAAGATACCCTTAACTGAAAAGACTTAAACCAGTAGAAAACACACAATGTATTAATTAACTACTATTATATTTTTTATATACAATTCTGTACATGTACAAAAACAAAAAATACTGTGTATACGGCCTTAAAACACTAAGTTTGTATGTTGTATTTTCCTATTGTGGAAGGACACTATGAAACATGTTAGTCTGAAGAGCTCTAAGTGTAAAAGAACAGGAAATGCCTGATACCATTGCTATCTCAGCACAAGCCCAGGCTGAGTACACACATGGATCAAGACATATTGTTATAGATTGCTTTGTTTTCTTATTTACTATCTTCTAGAGGTAGATCTTAATAGATATAGAAAATTGGAAATGTCAGGTATCATGAATCTGTCGATAATTTTAATGCTAGAGAACATTGAGCCAAAAGAAATTTATGAAAGCTTCCCCAAAGTGTTCTCAGATGTCAAATGTTTTTTTTTAATCCAAAAAAATGTGGCACAGTTACACTTCCAGCTGGCAGCTATGTAAGATAGATATGTGTGGGTTTTGGAACTACAAGTAAAACCCTGAATTCTTAGTGCCAAAAAAATGTCCCCCTACTGACCAGGCATACTGGACCTATGTAGAAGCAGGCCATCTAAGAAAGGCTTAGTGTGAGTATTTGGCGTATTGTGAGGAGAGAAAAAAAACTAAAGTGCCTAAACTAAAGGATACTGATTAGAATGACACTGGATAACTGCCTTTATTTGGAAGAGACCCTGAACTGGGCATTAACCCAAGTCTGAAAGAGACCCTGATTTTTTTTATAAAGAAATCATGTTGAGATTGATTTGATTTACAATTGCTGGTAAGCAGCTTACTTGTCTAGCCTCAGCTAGGAAATGTAATAGTTAGCTAGAGCTCTACATAAAAAGCTACATTTTTCTTTTTGGTTTGTTTACCGTACTGGTGTTTTTAACACAAAAAGGAGTGGTGGAGAACTTGGATTTTCTCGTTTCTGTGCTCTGGTGTGCAACTAGCTTTGTAAAGACACACTGATGCACAACCTTCCACCCAGTGTGACACAGTACAAAAAAGGAGACCAAATGATGACTACTGTCCCTCCCACCGATATCCCACTACTTTATAATTTGATTATTTTATACACTTTCAGACAACTTAGAGACAATGCTGAAAAAAAAAGATTGTCTTCAAGGATCTGATTTAATCAATTTCAGTTGTATGAACCATTAAATACATGGGCGTGGGGTTGTATGAGGCATACATGACCCTTATGGTAGAACATAGTTATCAACATAGTGTGATTCCATAGAACCAGCAGATATATAGTATGCATTGCACGTGTAGGAAATAAGATTTTATTCCGATATAAATCATCATATAGCAGACAATTTCATATCACTTTTTTAATAGGCAATGTTGATGCAGTAGTGTTACTCCAGCAAAGTATCAATGACTAATGGTATTTTCCACTGTTGTCATCCTGTCCCTGCAATGTTTCTGCATCAATTTTTCTTCACACTTACAATAAATGATGACTGACATGGGCGGCTTAATGTCCCTCGTTTTCCTCATGACTGTAAAGGAAAAGGGGACGAGTTCGGGTTCGGCTACTCAGCATCTCAACCCTGACCTTAAAAAAGATGACGACAGCGCTGATGAGCACGCTGACACTCTGCAGCAGGTCCCCCACCACGTGGACAAAGGCCGCTCGGACACTGGCGTTGGCCCGCGGCTCGCTGTCTGGACTTTCTTCCTGGGCTGCGTGGTTGTGTCTGCTGCCGTCGAGACCTCCATGGCTGTGCCCGTGCCCAGACTGGTGTAACGTTAATCCCATTCTGCATGGGAAGAAGAGTGTTCATTTAATCCATGTGCTGGATACAGAGACCCCTCCCTGGTGGTACAGTCAAGTGACTCTGTCAACAAGGTACAGGAAAAGGCTAAATCCATAAGGTTGTGGATGTCCTCTCCAAGACACCCGGTTTGTGCAACATTTTAATTTATCCACATTTCACTTTATGTGTTGCGATTGCTCACTTTTTCCTTTTTTTCCCCCCTCATAGAGTAATGGTTGCTCCTCTGTTAATGCATAATTATGTAAAAAAAAAGGGAAAATGTCTAAATAAAACAAAAGTTCTCCTCTATAAAGATCTCGCATGTGCCAAGAAAAGAACCAACTGGCACCATTTTGATTTTTGTTTCTTTTGTGAAGAACACAAATTGAGCTGCTTCTTCACCTTATATTCTGTATCTCTGCAAAAGGTAGTCATTTTTATGTGCTTCTTCGGTACTTTCTTCTTACTAATATACATGCAGTTCTGTTGTTTCTTTCCTAACCCAGTGGAGGAAACTGCTGTTTTTCTCTAATTTGGTTATGCTGACTGTACTAAACCTTTGTTAATTATCCTGCTCAGTCTGTCAAATCCCTCCAGCTGCTGATCCTGTAAACATTCTCTGTTTTCATAAACACTGCAGTGTTTTTAGCTTGTCAGCTTACAAGATTATGGGGTATTACATGATTTTTTACATAGTAGGACAAATACTAAAACAGCATTGTGTCACTTATATTTTGCAGCACCTGCTGGAAAGCAGTATTGGAAATACTTCACTGCAGAATATTGGAAAGGCTGATTGTTTTTTTTCCCCCCAAGGCAGAGAACTTAAAAGAATAGAATCACCCATCTGCCAGAAGAACGCTTTGTTCCAGTTTTCTGTATTCTTTTCTATTTTTGTTTTTTTAATAAATGAATCCAACTATAGTTACTGTAATTCATGTTTACTTTGTAGTTGTCCTGTGTTTGGTCGTGCTTAATAAAAATGTGTTATTTTATCAAAGCTTATTTTAATATTTTTTTTCAGCTAAAAAGTGATTGCTAACCTATGCCGTGTGGCAAGGCTGGCTATGGTAGTTGTAAAATGTTTTGAGATGATGCATCAGGCTTCACTCCAGCCACAAGAATTCTTGATTTATACTGTAGCTATAGCACAATCTAGTGGGCGAAAAAGCACAGGGCACTTTGATCCAATATACATATCCTATATATTGTATACAAGTCCTAGCAAGCTGCATAGACATAGTAACACTGAGTATGCTAAGCCTTCTAATGCCTTAGAGAGAACAGGTTCTCTTGGCCTTTACCTAACCCATCAGAGGGGGCACATATTAAAAATACCCAAGTTCCCAGAATGAGAGTAGGCACCCTAAAGCACAGTTTTAGTTTACTGTTGCAATGCCCCAAGCAGTATTGATGGGCCAGTTTAGATGGGAGCAATATAATATAATTTCCTGCAATTGTGATGAGGGTTAGTATTAAAGTCATAGTCTATGGGAATTCCTAGAGGAATGGTGATCTCATAGTGGACGTCCCAATATTGAAAAGTTCTACAACTAAACAGTAGTAATGGTAATTGGTAGCAATTAGCACCGAGGATTAAGAAGGCTGGAAGAAAAAAACAGGATACACAAAAGACCTCCAGCACCAAGACCAGAGAACCACTGATTTAATAGAAAACTAAGTATAGATAAAGTGGACAGCTGTATCTATAAACCTTTTTAAAATTCAAGATTGTGATGTAGCAAGTAAACTAAAATTATTCCAAAACATAAGAATAGTACACACTGTAGTACCAGTAAAGAAAAGTTTTTTTTTTAAATTCAGACAGGGCAAACAGTGGGCAGATGAAGTTTAATGTAAACAGATGCAGAATGTTACATGTATGTAGCAAAACCAATCTTTGAGTAAAATAAGAGAAAACACTGAGCTGGAAGGTGGTACCTTTGGGGAAAAAATACTCCAGAAGGATAAGTAACTAAATATTCAAATGTTCTCTGAAGTGTAGTATTTACACTAAGGGATGTTACATTAAAAATGATAAAATGTGCTTGTAGAACCTCATTTGTATGTGATTTTTGTTACCATGTTACAGATACTGCTTTTGAATGAGCACTGCTCAGAAGTCCGATGAATGAAGAGTAACCAGACATTCCCAGACTTAAGGTTTTACGGTCTAAAAAAAGTTTTTTTTGTTAAAGACTAAAACGGGTTTTGAGAGGACCTGAGTTAACTGGATGAGATCCATCTATGGATCCATCTTGGATACTGGAACAAGCTACATGAGTTTAACAGTCTCTTCTTGTTGGCAATCTCTCTTATGATATGCTTGAAAACTGCTCCTTCAAGCCCCCAAAAGAGCCCTTATTTTTTTATTTTTGTTATTGTAGCTTATGTTGTTTTTTTTTTCCTCCAACTATCTCAAAAGGATAAAGAAGAGCTACTTACATGATGTTGGCTACAACAGCACAGCCTGAGGTGATGAGCATAACATTGCCCTCAATAGTATAGTCCCCAGTTAACAGCCTTTCACAGGCCAGGTACACCAGCACACCAGTCACAAGCCAGATTGTAAAAACAGAGAGCAAGGCACCCAGGATTTCTATTTAAAATAAAAGATGAAAAAAAAATCAAATACAATCAAAAACCTTGTTCATTTTCATCCTGTTTAAATTGCTACGCAGTAAATAGTTGTAATGCAAATGGAGACCTCTGGTAGGAACTGGCAGTGTACTGCAGTGGACACTGGGTGTTGAAAATGATTAAATAGTTTCATTCATCCACTTCATTGTGTCACTATGTGGATGAAAATGAGTTACTGTTATGTTAATCTCGTAAGCCAGTATGATGTTGCCATTTTTCAGTAGAAGGAACACATCAAGTCACGGTATAGCAAAACACAATCTATTTTAAAACTTTAGGAAACAAATGGCAAAAATAAAAAAATTAAAATATAATCACTAAACATGCATTTTAAAGGGCTGCAAGAATACAATGCTCTTCTACTGGTGTCTGTACCCACATTTCTTTGCTAGGTGAAAAAACAATGTCTTTGTACCTCCAATGTCTTTATAAAAGCTGTACTTGTATAACTTGTATAACTTTCTAACACATTCCTACTGTACATAGGACAGTACAGTGTAATTTTGGGAATTTCAGTTTCTTACCATGATTCCCTTATTTAATTGAAACCATTAAAGAAAATAATATTTTCTTAAATAACCCAAAGGGTTTACATTTCCTAATTCAATGTCTTAGGGACAGAATGAAGCGCATGAAGTGGAAAAATAGGAATGGTTAAGAGTCAGTGTATGTGAAATAATAACTTTGTGAATAAGTATATTAAGCACATTTCTGGGGTAATTAGAATTAGGTGCTAAAATAATTGGGTATCAGGTAAACAACAACTGGGTTTAGGCAGTCCTGTCATTTATAAAGGTCAAAAGCGATTTCAGAGGACCTCAGAAAGATAGCAGTTTTACTACTATTACTAGTAGTAGTTAGTCTATTTAAACCTAAACATCTGGGGCTCCATCCAATCCTTGTCAAACAGTCTACAAATGGAAAATATTAAAGACCACAGTGACTGTGCCCAGGATTAGTCATCCTGCCAAGAACTCCCAAATAGCATCAAGCAACATTAGCCAGTAAGTCATTAAGAACCCCAGAGTGACGTCTGCATTAGTGTTCATGCCTCGCCATCAGAGCAGGAACTGTTGTCATTGGCAGGATATCCAGAAGGAAACCGCTGCTCACTAAAAAGACCATACTGCCCGTCTCGCGTTCACCAAAAAGCACCAGTGTGACCCACAAGATTATTCGGAGAATGTTTTCTGGACAGATGTGTAAAATGTTGACTTTTCTGGCCACAATGATGAACAGTTACAGGAATTGTCTACTGCAGCTGAAGGAGGTTCCAGCAATTATTGTATTTTAGGATTTTCAAACTTATTCACAGGAGGATATTTGCCGTTATATCATTTGTTAAATAATCCAGAAATACCTGTATCTTCTCTTCGTCTTTTATTAAGACTTTCATGTAGATCTAATTATGTTTTAGGTCTACAATTTACAATATGGACCATCTTGCGTGTTCACAAAGTTTTTCTTGGCTCTGCATACACTAAAGATACATTTTAATCATGTGAGAACATTTTCATATGAGGTACTTCCATCATATTTTCAAAATGTCAACGGCATAATGAATTCAATTTCATCACTAAGAATAAAATAACTAACATGGGAAATCTTGTTAAGGATTTGGTATTGCCTTGCCATGGGCAGATTAATATTAATCGTTTTAAAGTGAAATGGCAAAGGAAGAGCAATTTTAGATCCTACTAAAATTAACCATTGGATTGGTTGCATCTCATAGTAATAACATTTCAGCCTAAGTAAAATACATGAACATTCCTGTTACTTTAAAATAATTTCCAGCCTTTGATACTTCACTGTCTTCTGTCTGATTCTCATTTATCTCCATTTATTTTTTTCCATTCAACAAAGAAAATGCACTATCACACTGAAAGGACAAGCATTATTCATTTTTAATAATTAAAATACTTCATCACCAACCTTCTGTTCATAAATCTTGAGAAATCTTATGGTGTCTGAGGAGTAATTGGTCACCATGTATACAGGTGAGTAGGCTTTCTTAAATCAAGAGAGCAACATCAACTTCGGCCAACCAGAAAAGGTTCACATGGTGTGCACTACTACCCTGATATCTCAAGGTACACAGGCCTACTAAAAAGCAAAGCAAATGGGATACTTTATCAATAAAAAGTACAAATGTATTTCACATATAGATTTAAACGACTGGGTACGACCAAACTAGTTATACTATTCACAATGCAACGTACTATAGTATGTTTTTTGTGTTTTGCAAATGTTTTTTTTTACAAATTAAAAGTAACAGCAACACAAAACACTTTACACAAAAAATAATCAGAATCTAAACACAGAGTGTAGAATCCAAATATGGTGGTTAAGAAACTTGGAAAGTGCTTTGCAATTGTAGTTGAAGACTGCTGTTAAGGGAAATAGAAGCTCACTTGCACAAATGCATAATGGAGCACAAACCTCTCAGAATTAAAAAGGATTCTGGTACCTTGTGGCTTTGTTCCCCGTGAATAATGGAATTATCATCTAGTGTTAACCGAGAAAACAGTGACTATTTAAAACAGAAGCAGAAAGACACCCTTCTCATTTTCAGCGACAGAACAAATACATTTGCAAGAACGCATTTGTGTAAGAAGCCAATAGGGTAAAGCCTTCCTGGTTAAGGTAGTGGGAGCTGCCTGGAAATGACATAAGACGTGAAACTTGACATTAACATGACCACATTCAGTGACGTGTGCAATATCTAACCAAAAGGATGAAACGGATACAGACTGGAGCAACCGATTTTATCCTTAACTGTAAATTCCTCTAGTAGCATTGCAGCTCATCCTTACAATTTCAATCCCAGTCATCAAACATACAGATCAAGGCGATCCAAGTGCGTAAACAAAACAGTTGCCTCACCTGCTCGGTGCCACCCGTAATTGAGCTTCTTTGTGGCTGGCCTGGAGGAGAGCCATAAGGAGCAGAGACTAATCATGAAGGAAGTGAAGTCAACAAGGAGATGCGCTGCATCAGTCATCACAGCCAGACTCCCAGCAAAATACCCACCTAAGCAAGAGGAGCAGCAAACAAATGCATCAGCAGACGAGACTCAGCAGGTCATGCCTCCACAGCCCTGCTCTGACCTCTGACTTAAGACTTAGTAGAGACACACAGTGACCTACTTTTTTAACGATTAAGAAACTAACCCAGCAGCCGTAAGCCTGGAACAGTCACAACTCAATATCATTTCTCATTTATCTTATTTGCTAAACCACCTTTTATTCATTTGCTTCATTCATACATGCTTCATCGGCATCGGTGAGCCACTCATGCCAGCGAGAGCTTTAACAAGACCCAGAAGTCCCAGAAGCAGGCAAGCACAAGATGGGAGCAAGCGACTACTCTGTGACGGGACACCAGTCTATCACAGGGAAGCGTTCTGAAAGGAAAGTGTTAAGCAATTTATAAATGTAAATAAGAGTCTTTTCAGATCTGTCTTTGGAACTCTTATCATGTGTGATGTAAACTCTGCTTACAGAACGTAGACAGAATCTGTGCGGGTTTGAAAGTCAACTAAAGTAGTACAAGTTCAAGTCATGCTTACATCATTAAAAAATTCAAGGGACATCTACACTCATTTAATCTGTGCATTATTAAAATAAAGCCCAATCTAGGATATACATTTCCTGTTATCTGTATATAGAACGAAAGAAAGACATCAACAATATTCCTGCTCATTCACGCAAATGCTCCAGTTTAAATTAAAGTGATAAAGTAGATTTTACCGTGCTTGTATTTTTAAAAGGGGCAAAAGTTCTTAAATACCTACCAGCAATTTCACCAATCATAAAAACCAGGCAGATCACAGAGACAATGTAGAGCCTCCTCCTGGCCTGTTTTTTCTCCCTCTCTCTGTCTTCCAAAGCTCGGCTCTTGTCGTGGCAGTGGTTATAGTCAAGGTCAGTCTTGCCACACAGTCCTTTCTCAAAGTTTTCACTGGCCATGCTGAGTACAACAGAAGGAAGAAGACTCTCTGTGAGTGAATGAGCACAAAGGTCCTATGAGCTTCAATCAATGAAAAACTCACATTAAGAAAAAGTAATGGCACTCTTCATATTACAATAATTGTGGTATTCCAACCGTTAAATACTGCAGACAATGGATATTCTGTGTGGTGGATCGTGAGTCACTGGGATTTAAAAACTGCAAGATAATCAACAGATTTAACCATAGTCATCCTAAATTAACAGGTAGCATAGTGCGGAGGGAGAATTTGCTACAGCAATCACGTTTTCAGCAGGATTACATGATTTACTAAAGAACAGGCCTTTTTAGATGTTTTAGGTCTAATTATGTGACATCAGTCCACATAGTCTAGAGAACAACATTCGTGAAACATTTCCCACTGCCTATTCTGTCTGAAAAGGCAAAATGGCTCTTATTTTTACAGTATCAGGAACAAAACAAATTATGTTTTCTATAGGAAAACTACATTAAATGAAAGTGTTACGTATATAAGGCAAGGTGCCACTTAAGCGGACTGCAATTACTCATAGTCACCACAAGAGGCCGCCATGCAGACAGCCACAAGAACAAAACTTCACCTGTGGACATCATTTGTATTGTTTAAGACAGTGGTTCCCAATGCTGGTGATGGTGACCCACACACCTGCTGGTTTTCATTCCAACCAACTTTAATTTGATAATTAAAGCCTTACTTGATCTAAGAAGTTGCTTTAATTGAATATTTGCCATTTTGGGGTTGTACATTATTTCACTAACAAAAGTACAACAGGTCAAGCTCCAAAATGTTTTAGGGCCTGGAACGAATGATTAAATCAATGAAGGGTTTGATTGTGTAACTGAATGGGGAACCACTGGTTTCTTTCCTTTGGTTTGTGTCATTTTGTATTTGGAAAAATAGAAAACCCCGTTTCAACCTATATAAAAAAAAATTCAGATCAAATTAACATGCCCTCTCCTAATTTTTAGTCTCCATATTATGTATAACCAAATAATCAAAATAGACAGTTTGGAATATCAGCAAACAGAGGCTTGTCTGCTGATGCAAGATAAAATACTTTTGTGAATGCCTTCAGTTTCAGATATACAGTATGACTGGGATATCACATGAGATGCCCTAGGTTAAATGTGCTTTTCTGAATAGTCCCATGACAGTATAAAAGTATAATAAGGCCAGAAAGCTAAGGTTCTATTTAAGGTCTGAGAATATGTATAATTTGAGAAAATCAAACATTGAAACAAGAATGACATTTGCGACTGGGAAAACTGGAGTTTTTAAAGGTTATCATGTTTCTAGTTTACCATAAGCTACACTATATGCAAACATAAGAAGATTCCAAATTGTGTGTTGTCTATTCAAGCTAATTTAGTTAAGGAACAAAAGGGACAGCAGTTTCTATAGACAAAATTCTCTTGAGATTTTGTTTTTGAAAAGGGTGGAACTTAAAACATCTTTTTCAAACTAAAATGTGTGTTCTTTTACAATACTGGTAACAGCTGGGCAGCCAGAGTCTGATAAGGAAAAAGGCTATTATTGTTAAGAAGGCCATTATCGCCAATGCCTTTCATAGACCAGATAACAAAACACATGTTTTGAGGTAGGCTACACTAAAACGCACTGCTCCTAATGCCCTTTTAATGTGGTAAGTAGAATAATTTAAATAGGCACATTTTAATAACTGCTGTCCAATAATAACCTCATTTTCTAGAAGTTATACAATCTGAGCAACTGATGAAAAAATAACTTTGAGAGAGAAATGCAGTTCAGCAACCTTTCACAGTTGACTGTGCTTTTCTACAAGCCTACTCTTATCACATGATTTTCAGAACCAAGTGAAAGAAAGTTTCCTATGATCTTTCAAGTAGAAGGTTCAAACTCAAGTCATTTTTACCAAGCCTGGTTGACCAGAAAAAAAGACACTGGTTGTGTAAGAGTAATGGTTTTGTTACAATAGAGATTTTTGTTGTTAGAAAGTATTCAAACAGCCGTAAAAGAAAATCTCTACCTGGTAAGTTATCAAATTATGAAGCATTGCTTTATGACTACCTACTTTCTGATGTCAAGGAGCTTTTTTCCTGTCCAGAACAGGAGAAATAAATGCAGTAAAAACTTCACTGTTTATACAGTATATCATGTGACAGGAAAATGTACATTTCTCTTATAGCTCTGAAAATAATGGTCTGTTATAAAGTGAATGACGGTTTATGACAGTACCTCATAACACAGAATAGATTGGGTTTTTGCACATTTGGTTTAATTGAAACTGTGCAAAAGCTGTTTTAACTTTCTCAGTTTTTAAAGTGCAATATAATTGTCATGTGTAACATTACAGTTTGTTAACCCAAGAGAAATACGTTTACTTTGAATTCTGAAAAGTTTTGTGTTCTGAAAATGGAAAATTGAGGGAAAAGAAAAAACACCACAAGAACAATTCAAACGTGATTTTTGCACTGCGAAACAACGTATAATCATAATTATACTAACATTTGTAGCCGTCATAGTTTCATATCATACTGGACTACTGTAAACTGCTACAGTACTGTTATTAATATGATAAGGTATAGTTATTACGAATGGAGGTTTCTTACTGATTGTGCCACCATCTTTAATAAGCACAACTCTAAGTAACTGTGAATACTGCACAATTTTAAAGAGGTTTCACTAAACAGGACTATTCAACTATTCAATTCTTTTCTTTCGGTAGGGTGGGGTGGGGGCATGAACCTGCAGGCAACATAATTAAAACTACTGGCACAGATTTTTGCTACTATAGTGGTACGATTAAGTTAAGCCAATAATGTCATTTTGCCATTTTCTGTGTTACCAACATCGTCATCCTATGGTACTTTTTTGTAAAGCTCGTTATCTCAAGTACTATAAAACGCTGAATAACAATTCTTTTTCACTCAGATGATATTCTACTCAACGTTATTTCTCGAATTTTTGTAATTGTGTTTTATCTTGTGTATTCTTTTTATTTATTGTTCTGTAAAGCGCTTTGAGAAGCCACCTTTAAAGGCGCTATATAAAATAAAGTTGTTTATTATTATTATTATTAAACTGTCTCTTTTGACGACTCATTTAATAGAACCATAGGAAAACAAATAACAATCATTACCTAACAACATAAAATCTTATTTAGTGATGAAATTTCAGAAAAAGATAACATTAATAGTATTCTAATTCCATGTGACACGTAAACATTTTTCGCGTGACACTACAAATTAACGTCAATCTTAATTTTTTTAACAGTTTCTTAGAAAACTACCGATGTTTTTTCTTGTACGGGGAAAATTCTGCAAAACAATAATAACGGATTTTTAAGTGTAGAAAAGAAAAATGTTTTAAAAACATTTTATGTGAAACAGTGTATAATAAAGAAATATAAGATATTTACCTTCCCAAACTCAGGGTGTACATATTGTCTTGTTTTTCAGTCACCAGGTGATATCTTTCTGGATCTTTTTTAAACATTGTGAGGATCCTCTGAACAATGCGCTCTATATAAATTTAATTGCTATTAGTAACGTTTTAATAATCCACTTAACCTTGCTTGTTTGCTTTTTTGGTTGCCAATTTTGTCCCTTTATGTTTATCGAAAAAATTGAGTATATTTTACTATTTTTTTAACTTTTAAGGTGTCGTTCATTCTTCAGCATCTTAATCCTCAGCTCCAGTTTAATGTTTTAAGAACCAAGCACTGATATTTGAAGCCTTGTGACTCTGGACCGTGTGCAAAATTTAGTCTGCTCTCAGCACCTTTCGAAACCCATTGAAAGTTTTCAGAGAAGGAGAAAAAAACTGTTTCAATAATCGTTATTAAAGATACTGTCAGTGCACAACATCTAGACGTGAATCTTCCAGAAATAGATTTGAAACGTACCAATGCAGTTTTGCATCCATTGTTTTATTATTTTCAGTTAATCATCAATTAATCTCGGGTTTTAACTCAATTTAGAAGCTGAACTTTGTTTGCAGGCTGTAGTATAACTGTATTTTGTGAATTGCTGTAAAATTTTTGTAATTAATTTATTTAGACTTGTATTGCTGTAATCACTAAAATTTGCAGTGGCTACCAAAAGTATTTACCCTCCTTTAGACATTTTCACATTGTATTGTGCTACAATCTCTTCAGAATGTATTGGGAACTTTTTACATAAAACACCATCATGTCAAAGTGAAATCAGAATTCTATAGGTCATCCTAATTTGCAGAAGAATCCATCCCCTTTGCTATAACACACATAAATAGGCTCTGGTGCTGCCAATTGTCTTTAGAAGACACATAATTACCTGTGTGCAATTGTGTTTCGGGTTAAATACACCTACAGTGGTGTGAAAAAGTGTTTGCCCCCTTCCTGATTTCTTATTTTTTTTGCATGTTTGGCACACTGAATTGTTTCAGATCATCAAACAAATTGAAATATTAGACAAAGATAACACAAGTAAACACAAAACGCAGTTTTTAAATGAATGTTTTTGTTATTAAGGGGAAAAAAATCCAAACCTACATGGCCCTGTGTGAAAAAGGGATTGCCCCCCCTGTTAAAACATAAATCAACTGTGGTTTATCACATCTTTGGAAAGCTGAGTTCAATTTTTCTAGCCACACCCAGGCCTGATTACTGCCACACCTGTTCTCAATCAAGAAATCACTTAAATAGGACCTGCCTGACAAAGTGAAGTAGACCAAAAGATCTTCAAAAGCTAGACATCATGCTGTGATCTAAACAAATTTAGGTACAAATAAGAAACTGAGTAATTGAGATTTATCAGTCTGGAAAAGGTTATAAAGCCATTTCTAAAGCTTTGGGACTCCAGTGAACCACAGTGAGAGCCATTATCCTCAAATGGCGAAAACATGGAACAGTGGTGAACCTTCCCAGGAGTGGCTGGCCTACCAAAAGTACACCAAGAGTGCATCGACGACTCATCCAAGAGGTCAGAAAAAAACCCACAACAACATCCAAAGAACTGCAGGCTTCACTTGCCTCAGTTAAGGTCAGTGTTCATGACCCCACCATAAGAAAGAGACTGGGCAAAAATGGCCTGCATGGTAGAGTTCCAAGATGAAAACCACTGCTGAGCAAAAAGAACATAAAGGCTCGTCTCAGTTTTGCCAGAAAACATCTTGATGATCCCCAAGACTCTTGGGGAAAATACTCTGTGGGCTGCTGAGACAAAAGTGGAACTTTTTGGAAGGTGTGTGTCCCATTACATCTGGCGTAAAAGTAACACAGCATTTTGGAAAAGGAATGTCATACCAACAGTAAAATATGGTGGTGGTAGTGTGATGGTCTGGGGCTGTTTTGCTGCTTCAGGATCTGGAAGACTTGCTGTGGTAAATGGAACCATGAATTCTGCTGTCTACCAAAAAATCCTGAAGGAGAATGTCCGGCCATCTGTTCGTGACCTCAAGCTGAAGCGCACTTGGGTTCTGCAGCAGGACAATGATCCAAAACACACCAGCAAGTCCACCTCTGAATGGCTTAAAAACAAAATGAAGACTTGAGTGGCCTAGTCAGAGTCCTGACCCGAATCCGATTTAAGATGTTGCATGACCTTAAAGCAGTTAAGGCTCAAAAACCCTCCAATGTGGCTGAATTACAACAATTCTCCAAAGATGAGTGGGCCAGAATTCCTCCACAGCACTGTAAAAGACTCATTGCCAGTTATCGCAAACGCTTGATTGCAGTTGTTGCTGCTAAGGGTGGCCCAACCAGTTATTAGGTTTAGGGGGCAATCACTTTTTCACACAGGGGTATGGATTTTTTTTCCCCTTAATAATAAACTTTCATTTAAAAACTGCATTTTGTTATCTCTGTCTAATATTTCAACTTGTTTGATCTGAAACACTTCAGTGTGACAAACATGCAAAAAAAAAATCAGGAAGGGGGCAAACATGTTTTCACACCACTGTATATCTGAGAGGCCCCTTCTTGGTCAGATTGAGCACAGATATCCATGATTTCAAAATAGTCAACCATTTATTCCTAAATCTTAAAGATATGGTACTGGCTATTAATAAATAGGAATGTCACCAGCAGGTTTCGAAAACATTTATTGTGAATTCTGAAGCAAATCAGCACTATACATAATACGTGCTGCTCCGATTCTGATGATGTGATGTTTAAAAAATGTTAACATAAATGATTTTCTTCAAAAACCAATTGAGTTGGCAATCCCATGGTACAGTGGCATAGGGGCAGGCATTGCTGCCTCAGGGCAACAGTTGGGCCCCGGGTGTGGAGTTTTTATGTTCTCTCTTTGTGTGGGTCTCCTCTGAGTGCTCTGGTTTCCTCCCACAGTCCAAAGACATACTTTGTCTAGGTTAATTTGGCTTCTAGGGGAAAAAAACGCCCCTGGTGTGAATGTGTGTTTGTTTCTGTGTGTGCCCAGTGATGGACTGGCATCCCATCCAGGGTGTATCCTGCCTTGCTCCAGTTGCTTGCTGGGATAGACTCCAGCTGCCCTGTCATCATGAATTGGAAGAAAATGGATGGTAGGACTGATAGGTCATAATTATCTGGGGGTCTTTCACAATGCGCATTGAAATGCGGTGTGTAATTAGGCCTGTGCATTGTATAAAGGGTGAAGAATGAGGTTTGAGTTGTTGTAAACTTTGAAAGTCATACACTGACTTTGACAGCAGTTGTTTGTTTTTGTGGATTCAGCCCCATGGGCCTGTTGTTTGGCTCTGGATCAGATCTGTCACAGTAGCATAGCAGCATCATCAGTTAACTATCTTTTTAAAGCATGTTTGTGTTTTCTTGTCACAAAGTACAGCTTTAAAACTGATGGTTTTGAGAATTCTTGTTAAAATGGGTTGAAAAATCATTTTCATATGCTGTCGGTATCTACCCACTGGAATAACTTTAGAAATACATTTCCTTCTGTGCTGACATGTTTTTGCAAACTGGAATAAAATATACATTGCACTAGGCTTTTTCTACCACACATCTATTACTAAGTTGTCATTTCCTGCTGGAAATAACATTCTTCTTTCCACTGTGCACATCTGAATTCTAACCTGAAAGTGCAGCACAGTCTCTGTTCTGGAAAATTCCTGCTTATCTCCTGAGACTGTGTTGTAATCATCTGCAGCAAAACCCAATGGTACAATTGATTACAGAACACAATAAAAGAAGGTACATTTTAGAAGTATGTCTATATGATTACCTTTACAAATGAGTTTGTTAGAAGACCCAGTAGGTACAAATTGACCCACATGCATCCCAGCCACTTTATCAGATATATATTGGATATCTTTGTAGATTATACAACCACATAACTACACAGTAAACCAAGCTACCTAAAACAAAATCATATTTATATTTTTCTGGGGTAATGGCGTCTTTTTTAATTCTATGTAGAGCACTAGTTTTTTTCTTATATTCTAATTTTACTTTCAGTTGTTTGGCATAATGGATTAAGTTTTTGTTAAGGTGTAGGATACAAGAAAATAAATCAGTGATACCGAGTTAGAATCTGAAAAGATTGATTAATTGTCTTTTATTCAAGATATTTAAATAGTTTAAATAATTACCCAGTGCCTCCTCCTTTATGTTAAGTACTATATTATAAATAGCAATATATTTTATAGGGTGCAAAATCTGACACAGGTTATTTTTATTCCTACAATATTGTACTCTTTTGTTGAATTTCAAATGTTATGGTTCCCTAACATAAACTAACAGAGCAAATCCAAGAAATCTTTCAAAGTCACGATTATTGGCCATTTCCATTCTTCTAATAGGATATTACTTAACATATGTGTATGTTGTAAAAAAAGGTACGTAAATCACTATTGGATTTTTGCAGAAAGATTGCCTAGTAATGACGCAATTAATAAACAAAGCACATTTTTAAGAAGTGCGTCTGTTAAGAACGTGAACACAGGGGGGCAGCAAAGTACTATACAGATCAAATACAACCTGTATCTGTCAAATTACAGAATTTTTGTGGCTGTGACAGGTGGGAATAAAACGGAGGGTACTGTTAATTGCCAGTTACAAGACAAACAGTGAGGAAATGAGAGCTGAAGATAACAAGCAGTTCTTTTTTTAAAAAAGCATTTATATTGAAAGCACAGTCAAGGTTCTTTTCTATTTTCGGACTGCACGCATAAAGTGTCAAATACTATTTTGCATTCCATACTAAATATCTATTTGCTGTCACATAATCACAAATATAGTTTATATATGCACAAACTGTATATGCCGGGTGGGTGACATTTTGATATGTTGCTAGCAGAAGACACTTCAATAGAATGTAAATGTCACAGACCGACGTTTTTGTTTCTCTTGCATCCTGGAAACGCAAGATAGGCAGAAAGCAAATATTTTTTTATCTCCTTCGAATTTTGAGTATGTTCCGATCCTGGAAATAACGCTAACATGTTAACAGCTCGATAAATTTGAATGTTTTTTTTTTCATCCGAAGCTGTATACACCATCCGTTTTTCCGTTTTGTCATTCAACCAGGAGATTCCAGTTAGGCAGTCAGTGGGTGAAAGGAATATGTAGTGTCTGAAATACTATGGCTAATGTGTCACCTTGTGACACATTAAAATAGTTCTGTAGCAATTTTTTTTATTTTGTTCTCACTGGTAGACAGTGCTGGGGCCATGGGTTCACTTCTTGACCCGGGCTGCTGTTTGTGTGGAGTTTGTATGTTCTCCCCACGTTTGTGTGGGGTTCCTTCAGGTACTCCAGTTTCCTGACACAGTCCAGAAACCTACTGGTGGGTTAAGTGGCTTCTGGGAAAACTGGCCCTGGAGAGAGTGTGTGTGTTCGTGTCTGTGTGGACCATGAGATGGACTGGTGTCACGCCCAGGGTGTACCCTTTTTCTACCCTGTTTTTTTGTACCCTGTTTTTGCTTGT